TAATTAATATATAATACAACCTTATGTATTAGTTATGTAAACCTTTTGGGCTGCTGGTTGTTTGCATATTCTTTTACTTCCTGTTACTTGTCTTTTTCTTTGTCAGTGCTATAATGTCTTTTTTTTTTCTTTCACAATTTAAGCATTTTTAGGTAGGCAAATATACCTATGTTTTTTTTCTTTATGGCTTCTGGATTTATGTTGCTTAGGAAAATCTGCCTTGCCTCAGTGTTACGAAATTATTCTTTAGTATTTTTCCTAATAGTTTTATGGTTTTGTTTCTTTCACAGTAGTTTCTTAGTCTCTCTCTCTGTCTGTTTATTACACACACACACACACACACACACACACACACACACACAGTCACACACACTCATGCACTCTTTTAAATTTGGTATGAGTTATTTGTTTCAGATGCATAGCCAGTTGATCTGGTAATGTTTTACTGACAAAGCCATTCTTTTATCACTGATTTGAAATACTACCTTTATCATATTAAATTTTTATGTACATACTACTAATCTGCTCTATGACTTTAGTTTATGTTTATAATGTATTGGCTTTGTTATAAGAGCTTAATAGAATGTTTCAGTCTTTAGACTGATAATGTAAGTCTTCTCTTGTTCTTGTTTTTCAAAAATTTCTTAGGTATTCTCACAAATTTGTTCTTTCAATGAATTTCACAATCAGCTTGCCATTTTAAATAAATCTATAACATCTTCTCACTATTTCTTCTCTATTCTTTTAGCCTAATTTAAGATACCATCTTGCCTAAACTACCTTCTAATACTCAGCAACAAGAAGGTTCTTTTTAAATATAAAAATCAGATCATGTTACTTCCCTGTTTATATCCCTTTAATATTTCTTCCCCTCTTTTCATTATCTATTGCTGCATAACAAACTACCCCAAAGCCTTGTAGCTTAAAACAACCTGTTTGTTTGGCTCACAATTTTTCGAGTCAGAAACTCATGACGAGTTTGGCTGGATAGTCACCTCCATTCCTCATGGTGTTGGCTGGGATGGCTGGGGCTGGAGAAGCCCTCCCAATATGACTCTTTTTTTTTTTTTTAAGATTTTATTGGGGAATTGGGGGAGGGGAACAGACAAGTTGCTGTCCTTTTTGTTCTTCAGTCTAGTTGTGGAGGACGTCGCTTCACTGGCCCATGTTGGTATTGTGATCATTGTGGTCTTCCCAGCTAAGTCAGATCGGTTGCCGGCCATTGGATGGCCACTCACGGTGGCTCACAGCAGCTCATGAAAGCACACGCCAGCTGCCGGCCAGCCCCACTGCAGCCTACACCATCGCCAGAGACTCACGGCAGCCCAGCTCCAGGTCGAGCTGTTGTTCACCATCTTAGCTGTAGAGGGCGCAGCATCACTGGTCCACATGTGGGATCCTAACTGGGGCCCTGCTGCTCAGAGTTGGCGCTTCCAAGCGAACTAACCAATGAGCCACTCGTCCGGCCCCGCAATATGACTCTACAGTCACATGTCAGGCACCTCAGTGCTTCTTGCCGCTCTGTCTACATGGCATTTGATTCTTCAGAATCTCTCCATGTGGCCTGGGCTTCTCACAGCATGGCGGTCTCAGAGTTATCACATTTTTTATATGGCGGTGGGCTTCCAGGAGGAGGGAAAGAAAAACTGTCAAATCAGTTAGAGGCTGTGCCTGGAACTGGCACAGTGTCCCTTCTGCCATATTTTATTGGTCAAAACAATCACAAGACATTCGAGATGCAAGGAAATGGAAAAATGGTCTTATTGCAGGAAAGCTTGTGGGATGAGCAATATAGTGACCATATTTGGAAAATATAATCTGCCACATCATCAAAATCAAAATAAATTCAAAGCTCTTAAAACGGCCTGTAAGGCTTTCCATGATCTGACCCACCCCTGCTTCTCTCCCTGACCTCATCCCCTCCATTTTCTTCTTTTTTCTCCTTTGGTTTAGCCACATTGGCCCCTTTGCTAGGCTTTGAATACGCCCCGCTCATTCGAACATCAGATCCATTTTACATACCTGCCACGTCAGCCTTGAATGCCCTTCTTCAGACCTGTGCATGGGTCTTCCCATACTCTTAACTTCATTTAGGTCTCTGCTCAAATGTTACACCCCCAGAGAACTTTCCCTAACCACCTTATCTGATGAAGTCTTGGTGACTTACTAACTCCTAATCTTGTATTTTATTTACATAGATTTTCGTGCTGTTTATGGGACCCTGAGGGTAGGGGACGGGGAGGGGGGCTGAATACACCTTTCTTCCCTGCCTGACTTCTGAACAAGTTAAGAATAAAAGAGTAAAGATGGAGACCTAAACAGATATGAAATATATTTATATTGGTCAGCACAGCAGCTTTGAATTTATTTTGAGTTTTATGGTATGGCAGATTGTGTTTTCCAAATATGGTTACAATATCTCTCATCCCACATGCTCTCCTACAATAAGACCTTGCCATTCTCACATCAAGAAGTGGAGTCTATTTTTCCATATTCTTGCTTCTAGGCAGGTCTACTCAATGTGATGTTGGAGACCCACATGAGCCTACTAACTGCATCTCAGAAGTAGGCAGACTTACCCATCCATCCCAAGCACTGTTTTGTTGGTGACTCCCTTCTGCAGTGCTAGGCCTCTGATCAACTCTTGGCATTCTGACATAGAGGAAAATTCTTGCACTTTGTAGCAAGCCTGTTTCCAAGTAACGAACAGTAGAACTGAGTTGTGTATGCCCAGTAATTCTCATTTTTATCAATCTGACTAACGGGGGATGAAAGGAAGGGAATAAAGGAAGTGTCAAAGATGACTCTCAGACCTCAGACTTGAGAAACTGGGCGAATCGTGGGACTGTTTACTAAGATAGGAAACATGGTAGGAAGATGCTAAATCGAAATTTAGAAACACTGAATTTGAAGTGTCTGAAAGATACCCATGTAGAGATACCAAAGAAACTTTGGATAACACATTTGAAGATACAGATTTGGTAGTAGTATTAGTTTTCTACTGCCTGCAACAAACTACCACAAACACAGTGGCTTAAGAATACATGAAATTATTATCTCACAGTTTTTGTGGGTCAGAAATCTGGGTATTGGTTAGCTGAGTTCTCTGCTCAGGCGTGCACCAGGCTGAAGTCAATGTGTTGGTTGGAGCTGTGAGCTTATCTGAGGCTTGAGGTCCTTTCCCAAGCTCCCTGGTTGTTGGTAGAATTGAGGTTCCCACAGTTGTAAGACTGAGGCCCTGAGCTCTTAGAGACAGCTTGCTGTTCCCTGCCACAGTGCCTTCCCCACAGGATGGCAGTTTGCTTCTTCAAGACCAACAGAAGGCTTTTTTGCTGCTTCAAATTTCTTATGGCTCAGCTGGTTAGCACAGGCTCATTCAAGATAATCTCCCTTATGATTAACTCAGAGTAGACTGATTAGGGACCTTAATTGCACCTACAAAGTCCCTTTCACCATAAATGGGGTGTGTGTGTGTGAGAGGGGGGGAGATTTATTGTAAGGGATTAGCTCATGTGATTTTGGAGTCTGAGAAGTCCCATGATCTGCCTTCTGCAGGTGGGAGACCCAGGAAAGCTGGTGATGTAATTCAGTCTGAGTCCAAAGGCCTGAGAACCAGGGGAGCTGATAGTGTAGATTCTAGTCTGGGTCCGAGGGCCTGAGAATCAGGTGTGCTGAGGGCAGGAGAAGGTCAGTGTCCCAGCTCAGTCACGTGAAGGGACTAATTCTTGTTTTCTTTGCCTTTTTGTTGTATTCAGGCCCTCAGTGGATGATACCCACTGACATTGGAGGGGGTTGGGGGGTGGAGGAGCAAACTGCTTCCCTGAGCACATCTACTCAAATGCTTATTTAATCAGGAAACACTCTGAGAGACACACCCGGAAATGTTAAGCCAAATATCTGTGTACCTTGTGAACCAATCAGGTAGACACAAAATCACCATCACAGAGGGATTTGGGGACATTCACAAGCTACACTGCAGCCACTGCCATCTTCTAAAGTCCCCCTTTTTCTGGTCTTTCAGGTTTTTACCCTCCATAATCTTTACAATTAACATTATGTAATTCTGTACCTTCTCTTCTGCCCTTCCTCTAAACACTAAAAAATGCTTTCCCTCTTTTATTTAGTATTTCTTTACCATCAAATCAGTCATCTGTTATTGACTAAACAAACGTGGGCATGCCACACAGTCTCGTTCTACCTTTAGCTGCACCATTTTAAAAATGAGGAAGCTGGACTTAGGCTTGTTTTTCCACAGAGGAACCTCACCAGTGGTCTCGATTAGATAAATCAGCAAGAGCTAACACTTAAACAGTAAATTTGTGCATGATGCTTTCAATACAGATGCTACTCTTGAACAGAGTAGCCATGAACTTCTTGGTATTGCAACTTAACCCATTCTCAGATGAATGTCAATGTGATCCCCTTAATGTGGTCCATGAATTTATCTGTTTGTCCGTGCTGTTTGTTACTCCCTCAACTGTATATTTGAGGGTCTTTATCTTACCTGAGTCCATCTTACTCTGTTTATTCCAGGTTGTATAGTTTGTTCTCATTTTTGAGCAAGCCACAGTTATTTGCCATTTTGACTAAAGGTCATAGATGTTCTTGGTCTGTTCTATTAATGCTTGAGTTCAAGGTATAAGGGAAAGGATTCTGTGTGTTTTATTGCAAACATTCTCTGAAATCATGCTTAGCTATAAGGAAATAGCTCTATTTCTGTGACTCATTATTCTCTCTTATCTTGTGCTGGGTAAGGATTTAATTTAGTAGATAGAGATTTATGACTTCCAGAAAGAAAGCTGCAAAAATTGAAATTTCCAAAGAATATAAGATTTGCTGTAAATGCTATTATATATAGAAAATGGGAGCTTGAAATACAAATATAGGTAATTGGTTGATACAATTTTCCTAAAATCTCATGATTTGCAATGAGAAATAGAGTTCTTTTGAGTCGTTTTCAAGTGTAATCTAACATTTTTTTTCTTTTTTTTTTTTTTCAGCTTCCAATAAAAACAGGACAGCAGAACACACATACCAAAGTCAGCACCGAACACAATAAGGAATGTCTTATCAATATTTCCAAATACAAGTTTTCTTTGGTTATTAGCGGCCTCACTACTATCTTAAAGAATGTTAACAATATGGTAAGTATTTGGATTACTGTTCTGTGGGGGAATTTATTTTGGCTTGTTTTTTATTTAAAAATGTGGTGCAGTGTATTTTGAAGTATAAAAAGTCATTTTTCTGTAAACTCTGGGTATAAACATTCATCTTATTTTGTGGATAAACACGGGTAACATTTTAACTTTCATTTTAGCTTTTGCTTCTTTTCCTTAGATACTTCTCATATTTGTGACCCTGTCTCCTTTCCATTATTTTTCTGGAATTAGGATTTCACAGAGATTTTGTGTCATCAATGAATTGACCATAGTAATCTATTAAAATATTTTCCTCAGCTTCTTATTTGAACATTTACATATCAGATTGTCCCACTCCTAAGTAGATGATAAATAAAATATGACCTTGTAGTTTTAAAATGTGAGATTGCTTTTATGAAAATATTGTTCTATTTCTTTCCTCCTGTGACCTGTGACACATCCTGTAGTAGATAGACCACCTATTGTTGAAACAGTTTTCCTCAAATACCGCTTTCCTCAAGTTTCCACTTTCAAAGCTTATAATTGCTTCCCCCCCCCCCATTTTATAAAATCTGTTTGCATTCTTAGACTTCAGAGTACTCCAACTGTTCTTCTTCTGTACCTTTGAGCACATTTCTCCTATCTCTCTCAGGTGATTCCTTCCTCTCTGTCAAGTCCTATCTAAAATCTCCTTTATACTCAGTTCAAGTCAACTGATCTGGATATTTCTTGACTAAACCCAAACTGCTCTTATTGTCTTTAGCATTTACAACCACACTTTGTATTGTTTGTATTGAGCTATGAAATTGACTTCTGGTTGGAGATTGTGAAAATCAGTTCCATTTTTATAGTCACATCATCTTTGTTGTGTTTTCTTTTGAAAAAACTAGTTAGATAGTACCCCAGACTTACAAAATTGATAAATTAGAGGGGTGAGCAATCATTTGTGTTACAAAGAAATATTCTCTTTATAGAAAAAAATCAAAATTTTCTGAAAGAAGCAGAACTTTTAGTAAATATGTAAAGTGATTTACAGAATATATTTAAGGTTCAGTGGAGCTCTTGTGTTGCACAGTGTGTGGGGCAGAGTGACAGGATTTTACTTATATAATAAATGGCCATGTTCCCAGTTAGATTGAAAATATTTTAATATTTGGAACCTTCTTTCAAAACAAAAACAAAACCAGTATTGGCATTTATTTAGTGCTTATTGAGTAAATTGAATAGTGGAAACCATAGTCTCTTGTTAGTCAGTAGTACAGTATTCGATTTAAGGATAGTGAATGCTTAAATGTCACCCTAAGTGGTATTACAGTATTTTTTTGCTATAAGAATTTAAACTGATTATTTTGTGGCTTCAGAATGTGGTTAAATGCTCCATTCAAGATTCTGGTAAAGATCTGTATGTGTATCTAAATCCTATATATTTTTAGAGTATAAACCAAAGTCCCTTTTACTGTTACAAGGCTAATGGTAGACTGTAAGAAATGCCAGCAGTTTTGTTTGCTTGATACTTTATTTTGTGTGCGCATTAGGATAAAATCAGAGATGATAGATTTAAATATATTCTAATCTGGGAGATAAAATGGAAGACTATTGATTTTCTTGATCCTTAGTCCCTCACTTTTCAGATGTGTGCTGATTGGTAGTGGAGAGTAATAACCAACTTTTAGTGTTCTGAATATCTTTTTCTTGTAGAGAATATTTGGAGAAGCTGCTGAAAAAAATTTATATCTCTCTCAGTTGATTATATTGGATACACTGGAAAAATGTCTTGCTGGGGTAAGTAAACCTGTTCTTAAATAAGTAGAGTTTATGAATTTAATTTTGAGTTGATCTGATGTACCAAAGTATAGGTGTGGACAAGAACAGTCATACGGATTTTTTTGCCTAAGACATGCATATGACTTTTTAAAACAGAGCTAACGGAGTGGTATAAACAAGTTTTCAAGAGAAAATTATTTTCTCTTTTGTAAATTAAATAGATATTAAGTTTACTTATAACGTGTTAAGCTGGAGTCACATAATCTCAGGTGTTTTAGAAAAGATTTTATGAAAAAAGATTTTATGAAAAAAGAGTTAATAAATTTCTTCATGTATTTGATTTAATGAATTTCTTCATATACTGTTAGGCCGAAGGCATTGCTTAGCTTTGAAAGAATGTGGTGCGAAAGATCAAGAGTAATCTTATTTTAACCATATGAATCTGATTCTAATATTTTACTTTTCTAATCCATATAAAAGAGAGCTTTAAAAAATTAAAACCATTACTGATAGATCCTACCTTATGAACACTTGTTATCTGTAAATACAAACATTTAAAATTGATATGTGGAGGTTTAGTTGAGTACAAAACAGCAGTTCCTCTAAATAGTTATCTCCGTGTATTTCAACCATGACTTAATTAGAATTTTTTAATTTTTTTCAAGACAATTTCTCTTGTTTAAAACAAAGTGTTTCTATACTTCAATAGCTTTAATTCTCCCTGGAACATAGTAGGGGTTTATGTAAATATATAAATTTAATACCTCCATTTTAAAGATCTGTCTATTCAATATGTATTGGAGTTATTTCTTACATATTCTCTCTTCCTTTGGCACATCATTTGCTTTAATTTCAGAATTGCTTCTCATATATTACAGTTGTTCTTTATAGTAAACCTAGGTGGAAGGGACATTGATACATGAGGACTGATTGTGTGGTTGAGAAGAGAGGGGAGGTCAGAAGTGTTTGGGGGAAGTGATAGAGTAGGGAGTTGGAAGAATAATTACATTCACACAACTATGTATCCCTTAGGGAAGAGAAGTGTTTAAGACAATAGGCCACAAAACCTAAGCATGTTTTACAGTCTTTTAATAACTCTTGGTCATATTCCAAAATTGTGAGCCAGTTTTTAAATTTTCTACTTAAACTGAGGGTGAGCGAGTTCTGTTTTAGCTTAGTGCTTTCTATTATTTGTGATATACTGTTGTCCATTTATAAAATGGAGGGAAAGAGCAGAAGGGCTGTTAAATAGGATGGTGGAATTGTGAAAGTGGACAGTTTTTAAATTTCTCCCGAATCAGATCTTTGTAGTTGTCTTATTGCTTTGAATGCAAATACCAGTATGTCAGCTACGACCATGTTTGAATGTGGATAGGGTTGTTTATGGCCTCTTAGCTCTACAGCTTTTCTCTGTTAACATTTATAACTGAGAGGTAATGGTTAGATGTATTTGGGAAAATGATCACTGATATTATTGGCCCCTGTTAAATTTGATACTCTTTGGAGATAGCTTAATTGACACTCTAAAAAGTGGGCATGGTATAACTTATATAAGGCATAAAATATATATTACCTTGCTCTGCTCTATGATTGCAAATGTATAAGTTTTTTTTCATTAAATTTATAAATAAAAAATAATACTATTCACATTAACCAATAATTGTGTTTTCTTGGATTGCCATCAATGATTTTATGGTTGTCTCTTGATTTTCATTTTTAGACTAAAGTAAGTTGAGGCAGTTTAGGACAAATTGAACCTACAAATACATGTTTATCATGTTAAGTAGTTGAAATAGCCAAGTGAAAGTGAACAAATACTTATCAATAGCATGAGTAAAATTTTGTAGAATTTGAGGAATCTTAAATATTTTTATTCCTGTATATATGATCATTATTCAAAATATTGACTGCTTTTACAATTTTCATTTGTTTATCATTGGAGTTAGTTTAAAATGTATATTGTTTGGTTAGCCTATAAGTGAGAAATAGGCATTGTAACTCAAATTTTGTAGGTTTTTGTGATATCTGTTTATTTACAGTCCATGTATTTCAGTGTATTTGAATCTGAAAGCACTTGGATTGCAGTTACAGAATCAAGCATAGTGCACAATTATACAACATTTTGTTTTTTGACATCATGCTTGGTAATACCAAAATTGTCATTCATATATGGATACTAAAGCCATTAGATGAAATATTGATGTGGAACAGTATATCTGCAGAATAGCTTATCCATTGATTGTTTTGTTAATTATAAAGTAGAGATTTATTAACATCAAGCTTATCAAACTTGGTGTTGTTCACAGTGGGATCACCTGGCATTATGTACTTCTGATGAGATGTAATATGAACTGTACTGAATCACCTAAAGTGTTTAACCTCAGTGTAATCAGACCTAGGTTTAGGTTCCACCTTACAGAAAATACAGTAACTAGAAGAGCAAGTTAATTTATACCACTAAAGAATAATCAAATAAAAAATATGGAATTTTATCAGACAACTGGCCCATTTTCTTTAAAATACCAATGTTACAGAAAATAAAAATGATGTCATATGGAGTGGGGGGGGGATAGTTTTAGAATAAAGAGGAACATAACAATCATGCTATAATCTGTGACCATTTTTGAAGCCATTTTCGGGGCAGTTGGGGAAATTTGAATACAGATTGGATATTAGCTGATAAAAGGGAAGTATTTATTTTTCCTTGGCCTGATTGAAGTTATATTGGAGAATGGCCTTATTTTTAAGAGCTGCTGAAGTTTGTAGGGGTAAAGTATTATGATGTTTATAACTTACTTTGAAATGGTTCAACCAAAACAAAATTATTGGTAATAAGCAACATCTATCTATGATACTTGTCATATCTGCTCAATGTGCTCAAAGGCGGGTATGATTGCCCATCTAGGAATTTATTTGGCTATTGAGACAGATGACACAGTGCACTCACCAGTGAATATGAGTAGTATTTATTTAGAACTCACAACAAACTGGGGATTCCCAGGAGGGGAAGGGCTTATGTGGGGATTTGATGAACAGGGGGACAGGCAGAAGTGGGTGTGGGAGGCTAAAGAAGATGGATGGGGGGGCTGGACTTTCATTGTGATTAAGAGGGCAAAGATGGAACCATCCACTTTATTCGACTAACTATAGATATAGTAAACATGATGAAATACTAACAATTATTGACTCTAGGTGATGAGTGTAAAGATGGGTGTTCATTCTATTTCCACTCATGTATGTTTGAAATTTTTCATTATAGAAAATATTTACATGTAAATTTAAGAAAGCTTTAGAATTATGTGATTATTTCTGTTTTAGCAACCAAAGGACACAATGAGATTAGATGAAACAATGCTGGTCAAACAGTTGCTGCCAGAAATCTGCCATTTTCTTCACACCTGTCGTGAAGGAAACCAACACGCAGCTGAACTTCGGAATTCGGCCTCTGGAGTCTTATTTTCTCTCAGCTGCAACAACTTCAACGCAGTCTTTAGTCGCATTTCTACCAGGTTAGTGTGTAAATCTACAGAGGACTGTAAATAATATAAATTTTAGAAGGCTTTCTTTAGTCTACATAAAAATCAAAAGTTGACAGAAATGCGTTTGACCTGGGCTTTTGTAGAAATTTTATACACTGATTTCTTTGAAGTTTTTATTATGTAATATTGTGATATTGGTGTGTACAGTTAAATATGAGTACTGTTATAAACTCGAAAGTCTAAATTTTGGGAACATATCACCCATGACCAAGTTTTGTTTTTTTGTGTTTTTTTTTAACACCAGGTATGAATTTTTGGTTTGGCTTTTTAATATATTACTTCTTTAAATGAAATTAGCCAATCAGCTAGAATAATTGATAAGAGTAGTCAGAATTCTAATGATCTCACAGCTCTGCTCCTTATCACAAGATCCTAAGTTACCAAAAAAAAAACCCCAAACCCCAAAACAAAAAAGAAACCCAGAAATATGGAAACACATGGAAGTGAATAATTTCAAAGTAGAAATTTCCAGAAAGTGGACTGTGTTTTAAGGGTATGAACTGTAAAAGCTCCCATTTGTTGAACATTTACAGCATATACTGTGGTGTTTTATCCTCACAGTAGCCCTGAAATGTAGGTGATACTTCCCCATTTTACAGGTAAGCAAACTACCCATATTTTGCTGTGGATGATGCACTCCCATGTATAATGCACACCTACGTTTTTGGCACAAACTTTCAGAGAAAAAAAATCTTGTAATTTAATTTTCTAATTCAAATTTTTATTTTGTTTACATTTAGGTACTTGTTCTTTGTATTATAAAGGAATTTTGACATTTATTTTTTAACATATTATGGTACAAGAAATTTTCTGGAACAAATAATTACAAAACACAAGAATAGACACAAGGTATAAAAAATATGTTATGTACCGGTAACAAATTTACCATATTTATGCAAGAAGGCCAAGAACTCTTCGTCATTGCAAGTTCGTCCTAAGTTCAACAAAACTTAGGGTACTGTTTTGCATACGGTATTGCTATTGATTTCTAGAGTTACACTTTTAAATCGTAAGCCTAAATAAAAGAATTAAAAACATACAGATACAGAATTAGTACTACCCATGTATAATGTGCATCCTTATTTTTCCTTCACAAATTTGGGCAAAAATGTGCACATTATACATGGCAAAATATGGTAATACTCAAAGAAGTTATGAAGGTGATAGGCCAAAATGGAGGTCCCAGAATTTCTAAGTCAGACTGGCTTCAGAGTCTATTAGCTTTATACCAGATTTGCTGCTTCCCTATAGTTCTATTTCAGCTACCTTTCGATGAAATCCTTTTTATAAGGCACTGCTGTGCTTTAAAATTATATGATAAATATTATTTGAGCTTTCATTGATGATAACAATCATTATGTGATCATCAGTTGTGATATGCTACAGATGGAGAAATTGGTATAGACGGTGCTCTATGGAATAGAATTATAACTGACAATAACAAGTAATTCTGGAACTTGTTTTCATGCAAATGATTTGCCAAGTAGATTCAAATGGGTCCTTAGTTATGACCCAGTAGAAAGTATAAATCACTTAGTATTCAGTGAATCAAAGAATAATACAGAATAGAGAAAAACATACCTCTTTGCTCATTGGTATCTGCATCTTTTGACTTGTCTGTTGTGTGAACAGTGGACTTCTATAAGCAGATTCATTCATTCTCCTGTTGTTTTCCAACAGGTGTGAATGAGACTATGCATCATAATTTGAGAATTTATGCTATGGTGTTTTGGGGGAATTGGCTGACTTCAAAAGCCTACTGTCTTTTTAATAAAAAATGGCATTTCTATAATCATGATGCTAGGCAATAATATTCTTCAACCTCTCATCAGAACTCATGCAAATAAAATTAAAATTTTATTTAATGGCACAATATGATAATATTCGGTAATGTTCATGCAACATACAATGTCTTCATGAAATCTTTTGAGTGATAACATTTTATATTCTGGGGAATAATACACTGGTTAAAGCAGCAAGGTAACAAACAGCTAGGGACTAGGAGGTGCAAAAATTATAAAAAACCAAAACCAAAACCAAACCCCGTCTTTGTTTAGGTGACAACTAGACCAGCCTTACTATGTGAAATAATCTTACATTGAAGGTGGAAGAAGAATACAGTGTTTTTTAGCCTATCCGGGCATGAGTTGCTTTATAAAACACAGCAAATGTGCCCCCTTTGAAAACTCTAGAAATTTTCTAGTCACCAAAGGTCTTATTTTATGGGATTTTGCAGCATTAGCACATGTAAAAATAGACAACTTTTGTCTATTTCCTGAATCTAGTTGTGTCTTCAGAATTAACCAGTTTCTTTAGCTTTCAGAGGGCAGGCCTGCCCAGAAGTGGGATCTATGAAATATGTGTTTCAGACAACTGCGTTTGCTGTTTCATTGAGCTTATGCCAGCAAAAGGAGCTGATCTTGTTAGAGGACCACTCACCTAAAAGACCATTGTGATGGTTTAATTTAGATGCAGATATCTTATGACATTGCTATTATAGTATTAGGTGACTGAAAATATGCAAGTGACTATTATAGAATGGCAGGTCTTTCTAAAGATTGATTTTATATCTCATATATCATAGATGAATCAAGATCATGAAAATTAATTGTGTTAGACCATGCTACTTGTCTACAAATGTTTCTCTTAGGATTCACATTAGCTTTTGGTTTTCTTTAAGGGAATATGGGCTACAGATCTTAAGATAACTTTATTATTCTGCCAAAGTATACAATGTTCTGTGGCTTATGGTACTCTTTTACATAGAGGATTAGCTGCTTTCTCTGCAGAATTAACTGTACTACTGCACTAGGTCTAATTGTTTTTTAGTGGGAGGGTCCTACAGAATATCTAATTTGACATACCACCAGAAGCAGAAGACCCAGTGACTTTAGAAGTTCTATTTGATTCTTTTACAAATCTGCTGGGGTTGTTTTTTTTTATGGTTTATTATTCTTTTTAATAGTTCTAAATTTCTTGTATGTCTCTAATAATTTAAAACATACTTATTTTATATTCTCTTTAAGACTGTTAAATGATCTCATATATTTATGTCTGCCAACTCTTATTCATAGTGAATTATTTCCCCTCTGTTTTGTAAATTTTGATTACAAATTCATCTTTAGTGCAGTCTGTATTTTCTTTGGGAATCTCTTGCATTTGCGTTTGCCAAGTGCCCAGCTCTGGAAATACTTTTTTGTTGATTTCTTGTCCCC